ATGTATAACTACCAGTTTGGCCACCAATTTTGATTTTATTCCTTTTTGTCTCATGCTGAATCTTTTTTTTTTTTTTGGCTGCACCTCTTTTTCACATCTAAGGTGTTTTTGATTAGATGTCATGACTTTTTGTCAATACACACCAAATAAGAGAGTGACACTCGTTAGTAACCAACGTTATCCTTATGATCACAATCCTATTATTTGGAACAGACCTTTACTTTACAGAACCAACCAGCTTCTTTAAAATATATGGTGGTAGTTTTTCCTCTCTAAAACAGTGTTAATAGCTTCTTTTATACTAGCATCATGGAATTTAGACTAAGCTAAACACTCTTTAATTAGATTAATTTCATAAAATTTGGTAAAGTTGGCAATGAATAATCAATAATAACCTTCCACCTGTATGATTCTTTTGAAAACTTGAGCTAGAAACTACTAATCTAGTTTGCTTGGCCTAAGCAATACTTATGTATCTGCACGTCCTTTCACCCTATAGTTTTGCTTCTCTAAATCAGTCATCTTTGATACCAAATGACAAAAAACTAAAAAACGGTCCACCTTTTTCTCTTAGATGAGCTTTAGTTAAAATTTCAGACTGCTAGCACTCATGACTTTTTTTTGCATAGGCATATTCAAAAATGTCATTAAGTTCTATCAGTTTTTGTTGAATAACTTTGTATATGTGGCTTATATTCACACCAAGACTCCAAAAATTGTAGGTTATAAAGATCTATCAGTGTACCAAATTAAAAAAAATCCATAAAAGTTAAGTATGTTTTTCTATCAAATAAAGTTTCACTTTGGTGCAAAGGAAAAAAAAAAAAGAGGAAGAAATTCAATCAAAATTGGAGATGTTATATCTTGGGTATTTCTTGAAAGATTGCCTTGAAATTAAGTATGTGAAGTAAGAGTCCAGTAGAGCATATCCACTGAAAATATATGATAGTTTGGATTACCACAGTCCAAGACCATTAACTATAACTTCTGTTAGTAACACACAGTGTATCTTGATCCTGCAAGTGTGAAGACAACCTTGGGAGTACAACTGAAATGCTAAATCAACATTACATGGGCATTAGGGTTGTCAATTCATTATGGTCTGATGCAACATCAGTAGTAAGACTGAACTTCATGTGTTACAGGTAGTGCAGTGCAGTACTGGTGGCAACTTACAGATGACCCACAGGTCAGGAAAGACTTCCTTCAGAAGGAAGCTACCATCCATTTGGCTTGAAAAATTAACCCAAACAAAGAAACTGTCCAATTTACCCTTTCAGTCTACCTGATGACTCTCTACAGGATAGAAAAAGAACAGCTCAACAGGAATCTTGTGCACGTTCTGAAAGTTGGTTTGTCTCGGCATATATTTACACAATTCAACATCGGAGAGGATATCCCTGAAATTGGGTGATTAGAAAATAAGAAATAAAACAAATCTTGTAAACAGCTAATGTGTTGTTCAGATGACTTGATCACTTTCTGGCATTTTCTTATCACAGTCCTGTTGGATATTGTTCTGTGGCAGTTGATCCCTATTTCCTGTTGAACCTCTGGATATTGTTTTGTGGCAGTTGATCCCTGTCATGAAGTCAACAATTACTTATTAGTCACTTACCATTTACTAGTTTTATTTTACAATGATCCCTAGCACATTATGAATAATATATAACCCATCCAAGTATCTAAATATAATTATAACACAAGAACACTCACCACTCAAATATGGGTTCATCTGAACTTACTGATATAAGCATGAAAAGAAATCGAATATATTTCATTTTAAAAATCTTAAAAAACAAAGTCTTATGGTAATAAACATCAAGTCTTTATATATCTCACTGTAGTATTAATGAAATCTTAACAAGATTCTTAGGTTCATTTTTATATAAAATTATATCTATATGCAGGAACAAATTTACTGAAGTTATATGAATATGGTGGTTGTAAACAACTTGTGGTACAAAACGTTTTTGTACTTCCACAAAACAAATTTTACTATAATTTAATAGACACACCTCACTGATGACTAGAACAAAGCTTACCAATATCTAAATATACACAGCTTAATATTACCCTAGTACAAACACAAAACCCCAGTACAAACGCAAAACATACCAATACCTAAATATACACAGCTTAATATTACCCTAGTACAAACACAAAACTTACCAATACCTAAACAAAACCCCAGTACAAACACAAAACATACCAATACCTAAATATACACAGCTTAATATAACCCTAGTACAAACACAAAACATACCAATACCTAAATATACACAGCTTAATATAACCCTAGTACAAACACAAAACATACCAATACCTAAATATACACAGCTTAATATAACCCTAGTACAAACATAAAACTTACCAATACCTAAATATACACAGCTTAATATAACCCAAGTACAAACACAAAACTTACCAATACCTAAACATACACAGCATAATATTATTATTGATCAAACACAAAACACACCAATACCCAAACATACAAAAACTTACCAATACTTAAACATACACAGCTATTTATGCAATTAATTATTACTTCTAGTTTTGTTGTAATTAACTCTGGCTTGTTCTACTTGGAAATCATATTTAATAGATTTTGTTTGATCAAAAGTTGTGGTAGTTATTGAAACAGAGAATAAGGAACTTGTTTACAAAAGCTTGACTATGAGTATGTTGTTGGAACAGTAATACAAAAATTCTGTGAACTACCAAGACCAAAATTAAAATCTCTGAAATCTGCTAATTGGTGGACAATTCTTATCCCTAAACAAGGTGACTTGTTAAATTCATATTATTTTCATGGAGGAAATAAACATTCCTATAATGATAAAGGAGAAAAAAAAAAGCCATGATGAAAGAATAAGCAGAAAGAATGTTGGTGAATCAAGTAGACCCAGAAACTTGAGCACTCCTGAAAAAGAATATTCAAAAGTACTCACGTTTCTAGATCTTTTGAAATCTACCTAAAGAAAAATAATTTCCAACTTACAATTAGAATAAATCTGATAACAACTGCTGTGATAATACCCAGCACGAATACGATCACGTAGGGGGTACCATATGGAAAAGGGTTACGTCTTTTCTTCAATAACATCATTAACTTGTTCATTTTCTGGTCTGTATATGGAGGGTACCGCAGCCTAGATTGAAACAACAAAAAAAACAACTTAAAATCATTGATTTTAAATAAATTATCTAACAGAATGTTTAAACTAATATCCATCCTTTCAATACTACAATCCTCTGTTAACACAAACACAAAACATTGATAATTGTACTAGTTCTTGAACTTCTTAAAAAAAAGAGATTTATTCAATTTTTAATGGGAACACTAATTACCTCTAGTAATTCTAAAACTAACCAATTAGAAACAACAACTACAGATGCCGACAGGCCAGAATTTAAAACAAGATCCTGAGATATCAATAAGTTTGTTTCATTCACCATAGAAACTCCTCCCAACTCTTCGCACTTTTCAAATTACTTATTTACTCACGCTTGTCAATGGCACATGTTTATAACCATTAGAAATGCCATTCTGTAAGCTACGTGATTATGGCATCTTTATGTTAATTTATTTCAGTAAAAGTTGCCATTTCCCAAACAGATTTGTAGGTAATGTAATTTTTATAACCTATTTATATGTTAGTCAAAAAAATCAGATGAACTGTAGTATTTCTTGGGGACATTCTGATTTACAGTTAGCATTTTAAAACACCTATTTGAAAGCTACATCAATTATTTTTGGTATAACTAATAAGTGTGGAAAAACTAGTACAAGAAGGGCATTTTTTCAAGTACAAGTAGATCTATAAGCAAAAGAAGTGATAGATTTCTTTATTACTCAACCCTTGCCAAATTTTATGAAGATATACGTAGTAAATTCGTAATTGCAGTAAACATTAATTCTCCAATATGGAGTTAGCACATTGGCCTGGCCCCATATACACAGGGTTAAACCATAACCATAAAGTATAGTACTACATATATATACATGAACAAAAAAAAAAAAAC